GTAGTGGTAGTAGTAGTAGCAGTCGTCGTCGTCGTCGACATAGTCGTGGCAGCAGTAACTAGTAATTATCTTAGTAGCAGTCGTCGTCGTGGTGGTGGCGGTGGGGTGGTGGTCGTCGTCGTCGTCGTCGCTGGCTTGGTTTTGAGGAATCAGCTCGAAGCGAAGCGGCAGAAGGCCATCGAGCATGCGCCTCAGAAACAGGGAGGCCCGCGGCCGTGGCCTGCAGCAAAGCCCGGGGAGACTCCCGGCTTTCTTACTAAGTTCAGGGTCTGCGTAGAGACTACGGTGCTGAAGGAGCTGTCACGAATTGCGATGGAGCGAAGATTCTTCGCAAGTTGCGTTGTGGCATGATAATCCAGGAAGAACTTTCGCTTGTTGGGCAAAAGGTGCGGCTGTCTCAGGTGCCGAGACTCCTTCCAGGAGTTCAAGCGGCAGATCGCGAGACACGCCGAATATGCCCGTCGGGGGGCTCGAAGTGGGCGCATGTGGGGGGTGGCTCCTGACTTCCGAGGATGCCCTGCCCACTAAAAAGTAATGATCAGTACACGGACGATGTATGCTTGGGCGTTTGCATCCTGAACGGTGCCGTGACGGAATGGGACAGTTGCTTTCTGGCACTCCCGGCGGATAAGGCACAGGCAAAAAGATCCAGGAAAAGATCATTCAGGACACTTCATCAGCATCAGCGGGTGCCCAGCCCGGAAGAATCGAACCGGTTCTTGTTCGCGCTAAGCCATAGCATATCTCAGTACCGACAGGAAGTAGAGGAGTTCGAGCTGGACAAGGATGCAGAGGTTGCTTTGCCAACTGACGTGAGGTTTCGTTTCGGCACCACATGTGTGCTTCATGCCGGATCCACCCTTGCTTGCTTTCGATTCTCGGTGCAACCGGCCACATTGCAAGTGTTCTATTGCCTTCCATGTGATTTGTTGCGAGCAGCCCAGTCGCAGCACTCATTCAGAACTTTGCGCACTGGACAGGTCGAGGAAGTTCGTGGTTCCAACATCTCGCTAAAGACCCTTGGAACGCAAGACGTTCGAAATGTGAGAGAGTTGTAGGAGCGTGCATGCAAGCGGTGGGTGTGTCTAGATGATTTCATGCATGCCACATTGAGCTGCACTATGCTGGAATGTATGCATGGCGATACGAGGCAGACGCCGAAACGTACTGTATATACATACCCACACACACATACAATAAGCTTGTCATCATGATCATTATTATCGCCAGCATCCTCTTGCATACCTCATGTAAACAGAAATGTATGCATGCATGTGCATGTGCGTAAAAATGAGAGTCTTCAATAATCCATGGATGCATGGATGCACGTATTTTGTGCAGAAATAAGCTCGTCGATGCGCGTCTACGCACATCATCAAGCTCACCTCGCCCTCGCACACAACACAAAGCGAAGAGGGAGAATAGGGAGAGAAGAGTGATTGAAGGAAGTTTTGCGGAGCAGCCTCAGGGGCTGTGCGGCTGCTCCCGCTGTCGCTTAGTGACGGGTGAGCCGCAAGCATTTGGTTATGTCGCCCTTGCAAAGGAATCGACTTGCAAAGCTCGAACAAGCTCTCCGAAATAAAGACGAGCTCCTTGGAGCAGAAGTGCCAGCAGCACAAGCCTTGCACATGGCAGCCTGAAAAGTGTGTCTTCTTGCGAAACCGTCGAGGCTTGCAGAAAACCTGCATGTCATTGATTTTGAGCAGCTGAAAATTGAAAACCAGCAGCTCAATGCCGGCGACTCAGCTTGGCATGACATCGGACAGCGTGCATTCTTCGAAAATTTAATTCATTTTGTTTGCAGCGCAGGAGAAAATAGAAGAACGAAACGAAGAGCTGCACAAGTGGGAGCCTCAAAAGGGCTCAGGTCTGCAAAGATTGGTATTATGTTCTAGGATTCCAGAAGATGGCCCCCGGCCCCCCTGTCCGTCGCATGCGCCCATGTTGAACAGTCTCTCTCGGATGCCCCTCAACTGGACGAAGAGGTCTTGCGCCACCGAGGTTGCGCAAGAAGACCGTCGTAACTGTGCAGATCATTACGCACATGCGCGAGAAGGCGGTGAGATGTCGCCGGTAGAAGGCTGAAAGCCACGCGGCTACTGGAATACCCTGAGCGCAGGTGCAGTTTGTCCAAAAGGAGTACCAGGAAACGAAGGAGAAGTTGGCAACGTTGGGCGCTGAGCCTCTCGATGGTGTTTGCAGGCAAAGCCTGCTCCTTTGCAGCGCGGAAGACATCCGGCTTTCGCCGCACCAAGGGACGATTATGAAGCTTCTTTGTCTCAAAATGTCTCGTGACATGCGGCTCTCGTGTTACTCAGAACCCTGTCACCGAGGAGCTTCTAGTCGCAAATGTTTGGCTCGCGTCCGTGTCGTTCAAGAGTTCAATGAGCTGGGTGTCGGTGAGCCAGCAAGTGAAACGGTTTCGCTCCGAAGCCTGCAGAAATGGAACCAATGCCCATGAGGGAGCGCCAGGTCTGCTGTGGTCAGGAGTCAGCACGGTAGAGACACCCAAGTAGTTCAGCTCCATTCTTGGAGTGCGACTTGTAGGTTGAAGCGTGGATGCCAATGAGGTTGGATCAAGATCTCGGTGCGCAGCGTGATCTGGTCACCAAGACCAAGCATGAGCGAGATGAGCATAGGCCCCTCACCCCTTCCGGAACTCACCTCAAGGAGAGAGTTTTGTGACGAGGAAGGGATAAGATACATCGTCTTCCCTCAATGCCCCGTGTGCCCCCATAGCTCCGAGCCTAGCCGCGGCTCTTTTCATTGCACTGTCATGTCCGAGTCGGTTGGCAGGCAAGAGTATGCCGCTCTGAAGCAGCAGACCGGCATCATGAATTCTGAGCACCTTACGAAGGATTTCAAGGACAGCCGAGAGACTGTGGTTCCCGACACCACCATGAGATCGCAGTGCTTTGTCGCATGTTTGGGCTGTTCAACCGGGGATGCTTGCGAAGGACCGTGCAGATCGCATCAAGGAGCTCAAGGCCGGGCGGTGCTCTTCCTTGGGGCGGAGTGAAAGAGCTGGAAAGACAGTTACTGAGTGCTAAGGACCAAATCTCTCAGCTCAAAAAGCGCCACGGTCAAATGTCCCAGCTGCTATCTCAGATGTTACGCGCGAGTTGGTTGCCATGGGTGCGAGATGTAGCAGCATGTATGCCTGCGGGTGCATCGGGCGACCATGCTGACTGGTATGGCATCAGCCACCGGCTATAGTAGCTTTGTGTAGTCTGTCGCATTGTATCCTCGCAGCAGATCTAGACTTTTGAGCAGCCAGACGAAGAAGCGTCATCTGGCTCGCCTCGTGGGAACCTGCATGTCCGCAATGTTAGTTAGAAGGCTCTTCTTAAGACCTCTGAAAGATTTTGCTCCGTCAATCGAGTACTCATGATGCAGGGCACAGAAGTCCAAAACTGCATGTGCCGAGACTTTCGCTTGTGCATACCCACACTTTCAACTGAAACTGTTACAAGTCTGTGGTCCGAGTCCTGCAGTCGCAAGGTTCATCAAGGCGCATGGCGGCAAGATCTGAGGCAAGCCAGGAGGGTAGATTCAGAATGAAGCGCCCTAGGGCAGCCCAGCTCGAATGGCAGGTAAACACAGAGTGCAACAGGATGAGCGCAGGCAGAAGAGATCTACCTGAAATCATTGTATAACTTTCTACGTGAGGAAGCACGTGTAGCCCTCACCGAATGTGCCGCATATGCGCCAGTTTGCGTAGGCAACGCATATACATGGACCACTCAACAAGCACGACCCTGTTAAGGCCGAGTGCATCCCCTGGAGTCGTCGGTACTTGCGGCATGACATAGGTAGAGAACCTGAAATCTTACCAATAGGATGGAAACCATGGAAGTCTCACCTTGCGCATTTGCAGCCTGGCGATTTCTGTCACGCTGTAGCGGTTTCAGCATGACGAGCTATGTTTGGACTTTGTCGCCTATCATGCATCTTGCACACCTTGATTGGCAGATCACTGCCACCATGTTTCATGCACGCGGGCTCCATGCATGCAGTCGCATTCAAGAAGTTGTCCGGACTTTGGAGTTCAGCCCCATGCCATGATTTACAAGCTTTTTGTTGCATCATCTGTCAAATGCCCACTGCATGGCACTGCGGCCCATGATGTTTCACAGCGCTGAATTCCAGCGATGATTGCGATTTTCTAGATCGCTAGGAAAAGTGACCTTCCGAGGTTGCAGTGTTGTTTGGGAGGAGCGGCGGTCTGGCTTTGCTGCGCAGCTTGCCTTTCATGTTTCGCCGCAGGGAAGTCGGACCCAAAATTGGGTGACTCAGGGATGCCATGCAACTAAGTTTGAGTTTTGGCAGATGTGTTGCTATCTTTTGCTAATTTGATCTAGCGTAAACTTTTAAAACTGGATCATGCAGCAGCCCCGCCCGGGACTCGCAAGAGATTGAGGGATGGTTTGTCTCGGCTGCAAAACCGAGGGTCGGTAAACGATGTCGGGTGACCCAGCTCGGCAGTAAATCCTAAACCCTAAAGTCCTAAAAGCGGAAAGCTCAAAGTCCAGAAGCGGTTTTCCTAGCCATGGCAACAGCTCGTGCGGACAATGGCACAAGCCTGGAGCTCAGTCAGCCACGGCTTTTTCACATCGCAAGATCAGAGAGATGTGACGTCTCTCGCAGCGCGTTTGAGGGAATTGACAGTGACCGGAGCCTTGCTCGTGTGCAAGCTTAGGAGGCCCAGCGAGGCCAAGCCTCGCTGAAGCTGGAGGTCGCGCTTTCGACTCAGGATAAGTGGTTGAGGGTTTATAGGGTTCAGGGTATCCGAACGGCCTTTCTAAATGCTGCATTTGGATGCATCTGACACTCAGCCTTTCATCTTCTCAGGAACAGCTTGTATATTTCAATGCGTGATGCTCCACGCGACATTGTGCAGCTTGTGTTTGCACAACAGCAACGTGGAGACACGAGTCAGGGAGGGAGGGAGGCCTCAGATCGGAGAATTAGTCGCTGCCATCGCTCGGTGCTCCTCTCAGAATGGCCATTGCCGTGCTCATTTCGCATCGTCAGCATTGTTGCCATCACCTGGCATTGGACTCCCCTTGCTAGCAGTACTTTGCATGCCATGACCTCGATTCGGGCTCCGAGAAAATACTTGCTTCTGACTTTGTCTATCATTGTCACTGCACCTGAAACAGGCGCCTTCGCAGCGTTTGCTCAGAGTAGCCGGTACAAGTGCTCAGGATCTCAGGTCCTTCGTATACGCTTCGGGGGCCTTGATATAGGGTTCATTGAGCTATGATACTGGCTAGAAGTAATGCGACCATGCTGGCTACTACCAGTACTACTAGCACTCATACGCCTACCACCACTACCAGTACCAGCACCACCAGCACCGCTGCTGCAGCAGCAGCAGCAGCAGCACCACCACCACCACTACTACAACTACTATTACTACCACCAATACTGCTAGTAGTAGTAGTAGTAGTAGTAGTAGTAGTAGTAGAGTAGTAGTAGTAGTAGTAGTAGTAGCAGTAGTAGTAGTAGCAGCTGTAGCTGTAGCAGTACCAGCACCAGCAGCAGGAGCAGGAGCAGGAGCAGGAGTAGTGGCAGTAGTAGCAGTAGTGGCAGGCCATAGGCTGCGGCATGACTGATGGAGAATCGTTGGCGCGGCAACGCCATGTGAGATGGCAGGACATTGCTCCGGGTGTCAGGTTTGTCGACTCTGTAGCTTTGTGCTTATCTGACGGAGCATGCGCAACAACGAGCTAGGTATTCACCCATCCTTGGAATCTCGCAGAGGATGTCAAGGCGAAGGATTGTCGTGCATGCAGACGGAAGCTGAACCTGCCTAAGACCGCACGATGCAGCTATGCAGAAGCAACTGCTCGACAACCGTTCTTCTTTGTACAGACGGACGACTAATGAGTCACTATGTAGTCTTATCTACCAGCTTGATGAGTTTACGATATAGCCAGCATACAGACAACATAACGGGTTACCCGCGCATGTATGCATGTATGTGTATATATATATATGCTGATCTAAGAAAAAGCATTGCGCTTTTTGTCTATTCCTCGAAAAGTGTGGTCGTGCTGCGGAGTTCCTGCGTTCAGTGTAAAAGTTGATGGGTTTGGTCAGGTCTGGTGCACGGCGCACTCGGTATGCATGTTTGAGGTCCGCACGTAATCCAGGAAAAATTTAAGCATGTTCCTGAAATTCAAGCTCCCCGGGCTCCCCTCCACTTCCAGGCTGGTATGTCCACACGTACCACGCGCAATCAACGACAATATGACCAGGTGCCAGCACACCGGTACCAACATTCATAGCAATACGCATAGCCGCCTGCTTGAACCACAAGGTCATTCCGGACCCAAGCATAAAGAGACATAGCCGGTGGCGGGGGGAAGGCGTTCCATGTACAAACATACCCGACCATGTCCCTAAAGCCAGGACTTGCGCGGGAGCGGCTCCGATGTCAGTTTGGATACAGATGGGCAGCGGGCCCCTTTTTGCATTCATTGGAGCTGTGCTCGGGCTTCCCTTTGAAAGTTCTCGACTTAGGGACACACATATGCATGTTCATATCTATAAATATGTATGCATATGTGCATGTATGCATGTATGTATGTAGGTGCATGTATGCATGTGTGTAGGTATGTGTACGTGTGTGAATGCAGGTATGTATGTTTGTTTGAAGAGTGGGAGTGCTGCTGAGACCGCGCTTAGCCTCGCCTGATGTTGCCGATGTATGTATGCAGGCACTATGTGAATCGAGTGCGAGTGCTAAAAACGTATGTATGTCTGTATGTATGTATATTATGTATGTATGTATGTATGTATGTATGTGTGCATGTATGTGCCCTTCATGTATGTATGCATGTATGTACGTATTATGTATGTATGCATATGTGTCTTGGATACGAGCTGTATGTTTGGTTCCCCCTACACCTCGCCTGATGCGTCGAGTGCGAGTGCTAAAAAAATCTATGTGTATGTGTGTATGTATGTATATGTATATGTATATGTATATGTATATGTATATGTATATGTATATGTATATGTATATGTATATGTATATGTATATGTATATGTATATGTATGTACGTATGTAGGTATGTACGTATGCATGTATGTATATGTATGTACGTATGTATGTAGGTAGGTAGGTAGGCAGGCAGGCAGGCAGGCAGGCAGGTAGGTAGGTAGGTAGGTATGTATATATATATATATCTATATATATATCTATATATATATCTATCTAT